GTGTCTTTCCGTCCATCCGTTCGTGTGTTCGTCCGTCCGTGCATGTGTCTATGCGTCCGATCGAGTTCGACAATGCAGACGTCGCGCTGGTAACATCGACGAAATACGAACCAAGGAAACAGAGCGCAAGCGTCTTCAACGTGCCCACCCCTCCGCCCCGTCCATGATCCACCAACGATCCGCCACGTATGGCGACTATCCAGGAGACGACTATCCAGGCACTCGTCGGCAAAGCGCGCGCAGCAGTCAATTGGAGAGTAGCAGCACTTCAGAGAGTAGCGGCAGAGTAACGCCATCTAGGAAATGGGACGAGAAATGGTCATCTATTTCTTTTGCGTTCTTTTCTTTCTCATTTCTTTTTCTCTCGGTTACGCGTGACTAGTCACAAGGTTAGACTATAAGGAGCTTCATCCCTTGAAAAATGCTTAAATGCTCTCTACAATATTTTTTTCAGCATGGTCAGAAAACGATGCCGTCCGGTAGTTTAGGCTCCTGAGAACACGCGAGCCGTTCATTATAGCAGGTAACCAGGAATTCGCAATCAATTCTTCCAGTTATCTAGGCATCGTTCCCTTTTTTTTTCGACAAATGATGCCATAAACCAAAATGAACGCGCAATAAGCCCCAGGTCCATGGCCATTGGCTGATTTGAGCATGGGGAGCTGCAAAGTTACTGTGGCCGCCTCGGCATACCACCCCGTACTCGCGCACATTCTCGCAATCACCCTGAAAGTAAGCCGCGGTTTCCAAGAAAACAGAAACAAAATGACTCAAATGTCCTCGTAAAGGTTCGAAAACAAGCGTAGTTTCTTTCTGTTACGAGAAGCTCAAAGTATCTATCACTCCTACAGACATTGAGAGAGCCCATAGAATAGGCCGCTACCAGGAAGGTAAGAACCGCCCAATTATCGTCAAGCTAGGCAGTTTTAAAGACAAATCCAAAATTCTCTCCACTGGTTCTAAACTGAAAGGCACAGATTTCGCGATCCGGGAAGACTACTCTGTGCGTGTACGCCTTGCCCGCAGTAAACTTTACGAGTTTGGCCAACAAACAAAAACCGATTTCAAAATACGTTTTGACAAACTAAGCATAGGAGATAAAAGTATATCTACGAAGTGGTATCCGATTCCGTGATCGAACAGACACCGTAGCAGCCACGGGCTTCGAGATTCCTGCCAGAGCGCCTTTACTTGTACCCAAAGAACGCAGCCCTACTTACGATTCCGCATCAGTTTTACCTGCGAACGTCAGAAGCTATCTTACCAAGAGGGCAGCTTTTGAGGCCATCTTGGAGGATAATGCCACCGACTTTGCGATACTGACGGAAACATCGCTAACTTCTTCGATTAATGACGAAGAACTACTACAAGATAACACATCATACCACGTGTACAGACTTGACCGGACCGGGCGTAGGGGTGGTGGTGTCCCAACCTTTGTCAAAAGTGCTTTGCCTTCCTTCCATGTTAAAATTGACACTAATCATGAAATTATTTGCGCAAATATATTCTTTCCTTCTAGTATAATCATACTTATAGCTTGTCACCAAGCCCCTGACTCCGATATCTCGTTTATGTATGACCTCTATTCCGTCATGCTTGATATTTACTGTCGCTTTCCTCGTGCCAATTCCTTCATATGTGGTGATTTGAGTTTTCCCAACATCGACTGGAATAACCTGTTCGCACCATACCGCCATTCCAAAGTTTTTCTGGATTTTGTACTAATGTTCTATTTCACCCAAGCAGTCAATATACCGACACGTGACGCTAATATTCCTGATTTGGTTCTATCTTCGAATCCTGATCTCATTCAATCGTTATAATGCATAAATGGGCTAAACAACCACAAAACTGTTCTGTTCGACATGCGCATTCCGATTCTTCGTCGATTACCCTCGCTAAAATATATTCGAAATTACAAAAAAGTTAAGTTCACTTGCATCAACACCGATCTTTAAAACTTTTAGAGCTTTTTTAAGGTTTATGCCCTCCAGAAGACAGTTCAACAAAATTGGCTACATACAAACATAAAATTCAAGAGCTAATTGAAACGTATGTTCCCCTAATTCGTATTCATAGCCATTCCAATCAACCATGGTATTCTAATGCCTTAAAAAAACTTTCGCAAAGGAAGAATCGTATCTTTCGATAGGCTGTACGCCGCACCACTGCAGCGAAGTGGTCTAAATATTTCAAGTCCCTTCATGATCACACGCGTCTTCTGCGACGCTCTAAAGAAAAACTTTATTACCATGACATGTTAAGCATTTTACACGTTAACCCCCGTAAGTTCTGGAATCTCCTAACCCCGAAACACAACCACACACATACAATTTCTTTGAGAAATTCCGACGGTTCGGAGGTACCGCAAGACCAACGGTCTGACATCATGAATACATTTTTTCCGCCCGTTTTTACCCGTGAAAATAACTTTGATAGCCCCAATTTACTCTTTCATAATTTCTGCCAAATGCTTCTGATTAGCATTACTGTCTCGGGGATCGCTAAACTAATTGAAAAACAAAAACATTTTGTGCCCCGGGACCAGATAAAATCACAGCTAAAATGCTTAAAGGTACGCTCACGTGTTCCAGCAAAATATTAGAAATAATATTCACGCAAAGATTAAAAGACAGTACGCTTTTGCATGACTGGAAGCAAAGCAGCATATCTCCAATATTTAAAGCAGGTAATCGGTTCGTTCGTTCAAATTATCGTCCGCTTTCTTTAACTTGTATACCTTGTAAGCTACTTGAGCACACAATAAACTCTAGTGTGGTAACCCATTTTGAAAACAACTCCTTCTTTTTTAAAAATCAACATGGCTTTCACTCAGGTTTTTCCTGTGAAACACACCTTTCTGAGTTTACAACAGACCTCCACTTAAACCTCAACTCTTCGTATTAAACCAATGTCATCTTCCTCAATTTTTCTAAGGTGTTCGATCGCGTTCCTCATCAAAGACTTATGCATAAACTTTCCTCCCTTAATCTAGACCCGCTCATACTGTGATGAATACAAGTCTTCCTCACTAATCGATCCCAATACACAGTCATCGGACGTCACCGTTCCTCGACTAGAAATGTAATATCTGGCGTACCTCAAGGTTCCGTCCTTGGCCCTCTCCTCTTTCTAATTTTATTAATGACCTTCCCTCAAGTGTTACATCTTCGATACGTCTCTTTGCCGACGATTGTGTCGTTTACCGCCGTATATGTGATGGCTCTGATCAACTTGCCTTTCAAAATGATTTAAATGTAATTGAAAATTGGTGTTCTTTATGGATGACGCAACTTAATATTTCTAAGTGTAAATCTGTGCAAGTTTCCCGTAAGCGTTCAAACCTAAATTTTACTTATTCCCTGCAGTGTAACCATCTCGCTCTAGCAGAATCGTACCGATACCTGGTTGTTCTCATCAACAGCAAACTAACATGAACTGACCATATCGCACAGGTTTCTGCCGATGCATCCAAAACATTAGGTTTTATCAGAAGATTCTTGTCCTGCTCACTGGCCTCAGTTCGTAAACTCACTTGCGAAACCTACGTCCGTAGTAAACTCGAGTATGCCTCTCGAATTTGTAATCCACGTCAATCTTATTTTATAGACGCCCTTGAAGCCATTCAAAATCGCACGGCTCGTTTTATAACCTCCGAATACAATTTCCGCACAAGTGTTACTACCATAAAATCATCAATGTCTCTCACCTCTCTGGATTTTAGACGAAAAATAGCGCGGCTTTGTTTATTTCACTAACGGTATTTCAATTATTCTTACTTGCATGGCTCCCTGCTTCTCCCACCGATTCGAACTTCGCACCATCTCTTCAATTCTTTGAGTGTCCAAAATTTAAGGGGTTCAACCAACGCTTTTGACAAATATTTCCTCCCGTTAAAAATTGAGGATTGGAATCGGCTTCCAAACGCAATAGCCAATGAACGAAATACTGTGAAGTTTAAAACCTTACTCGAAACTCATTTTACAACCGCACCGTCGTATATTCTGTGTGGCCAGTTGCCTTTCTCTCATTTTTTTCATGCTATTAGTTGTATAACGAGTTCTGTTTTTATTATTGTCCTGTAATTCCAATTCTTGAATTTCAACCTACTTTATGTTATTGGTCTGTAATTGCCTTTGTGTATCCTTGTTGCCCCCCCCCCCTATGTATTATCCCGTCAGGGGCCCTTAAGAAAAAATAAATGATGATGATGATGATGACGACGATGATGATGATGATGATAATAATAATATGTGGGGTATAAAGTCAAAAAACCACGACATCACTATGAGAGACGCCGTAGTGGAGGGCTCCGGAAATTTCGACCGTCTGCGGTTTTCTAACGTGCACCCAAATGTGAGCACACGGGCCTGCAACATTCCCGCCTTCATAAAAAATGCAGCCGCCGCAGCCGCCATTCAATCCCACGACCTTTGGGTTAGCTGTCGAGAGTCGAGAGACAACACCACGGCGGGGCTTTTAATTGAAGCCATTCTATGATTATTTGGAAAAGTGTTGCAGGGTCCCTTTAACCTGTTGGAATTATTAGTGCTGACAAAAAAAAAAGCAGCCCGTAAGTTGATTGTTGAAAGGAAACAAGTGAATTGTCTATTTGTCCAACATCGCGTGTGACAGAGCACACTGTTCATTGTCACATGATTTTTATTATTATTTTATTATTTTGAAAACCGTTTTTTGCGAGAAAACAAAACTGGCTCTGGAGTGAAATCTGCAAAGAAAACGCGTTTTCGCTGTTCTCTTTATGCTGTAAAGAGTGCTTCATTTACTTCTATAGGCGTCTTCTTTTGATGAGCTTGTAGAATGCGACCTTGCAAAAGTTACGTAATTAGAATACAAAAATAAAGGAGGAGAATGAACAAACACGAGGCATAAACTCCATAGCGTTCAGTAATGGAACCTTGCGGACTGACTCACTTGCGGGCACAAACCGAATGTGATACGAAGTTTACAGTGGGTGAAAAAGGTTTGAATTTCACCATTGGTCTGTTCTTTGCAGACAGCGGTACTGGCTCCGTGTCGAATGTAGAAAAGTAAGGCACCCAAGAAGAATACTGCAGAAAGCAGCTCCGCCCTTCCCACTACACTGGTCACCTGTGGTCGAAAAGACAAAAAAAAAAAAGCGCCGTGTCAGGCACGAACACACTTGTACCACCACAGCAATGGCGGAAAGGGGTTTTGCTGTTTCACACTCACAGCTTCAGTGTGGATAGGGTGAGCGGAGAAGAGCAACGCCGCCAGCAGAGACGTCCAGCCCGGCAGGAGCATCAGGCACATCCTGCGAAAACCACAATGCCCAAGACCGAAAGAAGGGGAGGGTTATGGTCTCACTTTTTTTTTTGTTAGACACGACATTAATGAGAACTAGCAGACAATGAAGCCGGGAAAATGCAGTAAGTGCTCTCTGTAGTAATTGCGATATATATAAAATAACGCGAAGCTTCCATTAGGTTGCGCAAGGCGTGAAACAACGAAACTGGACGATTGTTAAGCCCAATCTGGTTGCGTCTTAGTTGTTTCTAAATAAGAGGTGATGCTTCTTTATATGTCGTTGCTTTAGGCTTTAGCTAAGCGGTGCTATGTTGTTGCTAAGTTGACTCGCAACACAGAGAGGTTCCAGTTAAAGTTAGATCATAGAACGTTACAGGCACGACAGGGTTTTTCAAACTCCAGGGACAGAAACTGGCGCTGAAACCGAGTGTTCGCACGCCTCATAGATCGACGGGCGCGTCGTGGTTGGCGTACACGGCTTCCACCTCTTCGGCGTCTTCTAGCAGCCGTCGTTGCCTTTCCCGTTACTCTTTCGCAGCCGTTTCTTGGGCTGTCAAAGGTTTCATTTTTACCGGAAGAGTAGTCAGGTTTGCCAAATTTTTGTGGTACATACCCGTTTATGATGATGATATTTTTTCTTAGTTCCTCATTTTATTTCCAGCTTTGGCAGCGTCGCTCGCAATGAACTTCGGGAATTGATGCTGACGAAACGATAACATGCCATCGACGGGGACCGACCCGGCAACTTTCGAATATCGAGTCCGACCTGGCTCATGCTCCCGTCAACTTTATCGGGTAGAGCATGGGACGCGTTATTCGAAGATCGCAGGTTCCGTCCCGTCTCGTGGCATGTTATCGTTCCGTAAACTTCATTTTCTGGGTATATATGTCACATTTACCACAAATTATGTCCCTCGCACTTTCCTTGGCGGGAGTGTTGTAATTCTCACTGTTGTTCAGGACCAGGCATTTTTCGTCAATGAATGCTCAGTCGTAGCATGCCCTTACTTTTCGCCACTGCGCATTAGTGAACAAACAAAGAATGACAGCGAATGAAGCGCTTTGCACGCATAGAAGACCACCTGACCTATCAATTTCGCAGTACACGTTTAAACAGGATAGCACATGGTGTTTGTCTATTGAACCGGCGTTCGTGTCTAGTAGTTAGCGGAGTGGCTCGGCTGGGTTTGTGGCACAGCCTATTGACAGATGGCGCAACAAACACTGAACGCAGAGCTCTCAAAGATGGTACATGAATTTCGCATCAAATTAATTCCAAGTGAGACAGAAAATAGCACAGGAGAATAACACTGTAGCGTGTTCGTGTCTCGCTAACTTTGGTGCGGGCTGTGAAATGTCGGCGAGGTTAATGTACTGTGAGAAGAGAATATATGGGAAGGTACGTCTTCTGCACCATTTACAATAAACAGTTCTGAGTTCTTTATGCTTATTTTTGTTTTAGCTTTGCCTTCTCTTTGCTAAGAATATTTTCGATACTATTGACGAGATTCGCGCCCTGTTCAGCACGCCCCTTGCTATTTAATTTGATAAACAGTCGAATCCAGTTTGCTTCAAGAACCACTGAAATAACAGATCATACAAGATATAGGAAGGAGAGATTTGTTTTAATTGAGCAATAGTTTTATATGTCAAGATTTATTATTCCTTGCCTAAAATGGTTCAGTTTCGATGTCACCATTAAAATTCGATGCATATCTTCAAGTACCTTAAGTTTATTTTAATTTCGCAAGAATTGGCACGTTAGAGATTGCAATAGCCTACTACTTTCTGTACCAATAACTGGCCTTGAGTTTCAAATCAAAGAAAAGAAATTAAGAAGTTTATGACAGGTGTTATATTGTCACACATTTTATAAAAATATTTTGTATCGCTAAAATGAACGCCCTCTACATATAACATGTATTTGTTTCCGTTAAATGCATTTGCTTTGCTTTAAATTCATATACAATTACCCACTAATAGAAAGTTGTTGCTGGTTTGCCTTCTATAGTGTTTCTTCATCTCAAGAATATTTCATTTTTCGATGTGGCACTGGTACTAAGAAGTCCCTTTTCTTGCCACGCAGAACGCCGTCAGTGCAATTATAGTTACAGAATATGGGTTTGTCAATGCACTCAACAGCAACGGCGTACTTTGCACACACTAACGCCCTATTGGTAAACGCAATGACTCAGATGTGTATTTGCACGACCATGGTTGTTTCACCTTACAAGAGCAAACGATGTTCGCCACGGCCAAAAAGTTTTCAGTATGATTTTACACGTTGAAAAGCGAATGATGGTAAAGAACCAACAAGGAGCAGGGTGATTTTGAACAAACAAGATGACGAATGCGTTTTCCAAGGGTGCTGTCGAGTGCTAGGCGCCGAAATTTCGCTAATGCGCTCTTTATACGCGATAGGTAATCACACTGGAGCACAGCACGCGACGGAGTAGCTTCAGTCGTCAATTTTGCGAGGCAATCCCCGTTTGTTTTCGCACTCTGTTCGCCATTCCCGCCCATCTTTCTCATCCTTTTCGTCCACAAACAAAATGGAGCAGCGCAAGAAACGAGAGCTTTATAGCGATTTCAGAAGCAAATCAATGGTCGTATTTCTTTCTTTTAGACTGTGACACGACATCGTGATAGCACGCAGCACTCGGTACGAAAAGCCACGTTTTTTTGTTCTTTTTTGTTCTTCACTCGCACCTGGACCGCCGCACTCGAATTTCAGGGGCGTCGGGTGGCGTAAACTTTGAACCGAATTTCCCCTGTTTCAGTGCTCGAAGCATCTGCCAATAACAACAGACAACACGGGTAACGGACATCAAGAACAAGGAAAGAGGTAGCTGTAAAACGCGAGCAGGAGGGAAGCCATCGGTTCTCCGAGCCAGACGCCGGAACGGTAGCATTGTCGTTCGTCTCCCCGGCTCTCGACGGCGTCGACGATGGAACGGCTCTCTCAGGACGCCCCGGTAACGCATGCAAGAACCATTAGGCTCAGCGCGGGCCATCAGTCTCTGTCGAGGTGGATCTCCCGACGCGGCTCCACTAATGGTCCGATCCTTGCCGATGCGGCCTACGGGCAGCACGGCTCGCGGGACTGCCGACGCCGCCGGCTGCTTTTCAACTCGAGCGGACTCGTCCGGCGCGCCACGGAGACGCGATATCTTCGCTCGAGTATGCTCCCGCCGTGGCAGCAGCACGCGCGGTGCCGGAGAGGATACATCGTTTCGGCACTATAAGCGCCCAGTCATGTTTGCGCGATGCCAGCTATTCTCTCGGGTAGATGTCAAAGCGGGCCTCTCCCCCGTGTTTCCTGCGACAGAAGATGCAGCGGCATTATCTCGGTGCCTTGGGACCACTGAGCTGCTCTGTAGCATTGCGAATAAGCAGCCTCTTGTATGTGTATGCGCGCGAGGCACGCGTACCTGAATGGAAAGTCATGCGCGCGCCCGCGCCTTGTCTTTCTCGGAGTCGCCGACTACAGTGTTGGGCGTTGAGCCGCACATACGCGTATTCGAAATGGATTCAAACTGAACCTGTACGGCGCTTGTGCCCGAGAAACGTGAAGGGCAACGGAAGACATGCGTCGCGTCTACGCTGATTCACCCTATCTCCGTATGCCCTCAGAAAAGCGCCGTGTCACACAATTAAACGAGTATTTGTAGTCTCCCTCGATGGCTTCTCAGGGAAAGTGTTTCAAAATATAGCCAGTTTTTTGTCAATGCATAACTAGAGAATGCTGCGAATGTGCTAATTTTCCAAAAAAAAAAACACTGTGAAAATGAGCACGTTAATGCAAAATATGCTTTACCTGTGTGATACTAAAATTGCGCCGGAATGTAACACAGCCTCACACATTAGTTCTTCAAACGCCTTTGAAGGCACAAAAATAATGGGATGTATCAGTATATGCCACTTGTGAGTTATTGGGCTTAAAAGTGGGCCACTCTGCAATTATATTTATACATGTTTTTTTCGCAGTGCGGCTTGCGAGGAGCGCAGTTTTATCCCAAGAATAAAAGAAGTAATTGAAGCAGTGTAGTAGTAGCACTGTGGGCGTAACTTTTGGCGTAATCCTCTGTGAGCTCATTAATTTTTGTTCAGTTCACTATGGCTTTGTTAATAAATTTTCTTTTAATGCTCCCTGTAGTTAAGCTTTGTCGGGTGCTAGACTTGGAGTGTTCCTTCATGCTGTAGGTTTTTTGAAGATAACGTCATTTTGTTAGCTTTCAAAGTAACAATAAGTAGTAAGCGCACTTACGAACTCGCAATTAGATTATAATTTCACAATAACACATCACGTTGGTAACGAGGTCGTCGCTAACGGGGTTTCACATTCCAAGAGAACTATTGCTTATTATAATATCGTGAAAAGAGACACACAGCACAAATGTGTTGAATAAACCTTACACTACCACGCAAGACAAAATCTTAATAAAGATGAAATTGGGGAGCGGTAATTGGATTCAGATCGACAGATGTAGCATAGAAAACAGCTGCCTACTACTCATTTCTCTTAAAGACATATAAGTGATTTCAGGCAGTAACAGTGCATTTATTGAAGTTTAACTGCGACAAAAAGCTCCTTTGTGGCACACGTTAAAGTAACACGTGTGGTAAAAATGATTTGGTGGCCATTCTTTATGACGTATGCCGCGTGATGAGCTCACCATATTCATGTAAACAAAAAGAGTCATGAAGGGGCTCTAAAACAGGTTCGAAGTTGGCCAGCGCAAAAACAGACCCCAGCAAGCAACTTAATGTTGCGATGGCGCTTTTGAGATACGTTGAAGTTATCTACTGTAATACTATTCTTTAACGTGATTACTTACATGCACTCACGAGAATATTCTTTCATCGATAGCGTTTGCCTTTACGACGGATGTCATGTGGCGTGTTTGACCTTTGAAGAGACAAGTTTATTTTAGACGAAGTTTCTTCTTTTTCAACATGACACATTTCGGACGAATAGAAGGCAGGGAATCCACAATTAGTCGAAGT